CAGAGAAATCTGTAAGTTCACATTCCAAAACTTTCCAGTTCTACACGTCTAACGAAGATCACACACTTAAAACATATCACCAACAAATATCTACGTATTTATTATATTCTTTCATTTAATATCAAAACACACTGACGCCCCGTCTTCTATGTTCAAATAACTTATAACAAACCTTTTCTGACCAAATATTCTTGTTCCCCTCCTTCAAACATGCTCTCAACCTTTTTCTAAGGTCAAACACACAAACACACCGCCTCCCATTATCCTATTCTCTCAAACTCTACCTTCTATGACCAAATACACTAAGATCAAGATCAAAAACACGTACACCTACTCAGTGCAACACACGTGACAGCCCGCCATCTAAGATCAAAGGCATCTTTAACTTACTTAGACACATTAATTTCTAAATTCTAAGATTATATACGCTAATGCTCTACCTTCTAGGATGAATTACGCAAATACCACTCCTTCATAAATAAAAAAGCCATCAATAATTGTCCAACCACAAACATCGCTTTCACTAATAAATATTCAGTAATCTTGCTAGTACGGTTGGGAGCGCGCGAGAGTTCTTATTGTGGGATTTACGTGGTGTACACAGAATACTGGTAGTCGAGGGTTCTTATTGTGGGATTTACGTGACGTACACCGAATACTGGTAGTCGAGGGTTCTTAGTATGGGATTTACGTGGCGTACAGAGTTAGAATAATTAGTCGAGCTAGACGTAATCATGTGCATCATTGCCCAACCCAACCATACTTGCAAACTAGCAATCAATAACTTCTATCCTTTTTACATTGATACCCCACAAAATTTAACATCGAACTTACAAATACTTTTCTATGACCTTCCTGCATACTAACATATAACCCAAACTACTCCACACATGAACAACCGTGACCTACTGGCAGCAAACCTCTGAGCCAAACCATACCCCTTATCAATTATATCAACCACACAGCTAACAGCTAGCACCCCGGCCAGTATCATCGAACTCACTACGTTGTAATATTCAATCGAATGACGTCCCTCTTACAAATGTTCAAATACATCATGACCTCTGTCTATCATCGTACACCGGATATAGCTATACGGGAAGTGTAAAACCGCGAAACAAACACAGCGGTGACAGGACGGAAGTAAAGCGGTGCTTTTTATGATCTTAGGTAACATTGCTGGCCGAACTCCGGTCTCATTGTCTCAAAAGGACCTGAAGTTACAGCGGATACACTGCGTGATCGAACGTGTCATTATAGTCATTTGGCAAAAGGTACAAGGTACAAAGTATGACAATACAGTCAAGAAGTAATGTATATAATAAAAGCGAGGAAATTTTATTCGTTACTTCACTTTGCCGCCTCCGATTTCTGCGTAGAAAATCGGATCTTAAAGTCACATTGAAGTGTTGCACAGTGTGTCGACTCCGTGATCTTCAAGTTGGTGACATAGCAAACGCCGCTCAGGTAATTTTCAAGTATTTCGCTTAGCCGCTGTGATATTACACACTGCGCTAACAGCATTTCACTAAAGTGAGGTAATTTCCATGGACCTCGCTAAGCTTGTCTGGTGTTACTACACTGTGTTTGTAAGATGAGATTTCCATGTACCGAACTTACCTCAATGAGTGTTGCCACTGTAGTGAGGTATTGTGTTGCCATTATCTCGTTATCGTGGCCTTTTCGTGCTGTAATGAATACGTTATTTAGACATATATCTTTATCAAAATTTTCTTTGCTATGTAAAGTGTTTTGATGTGAGCGCGTGTATCTCATGTTTTATTTTTTTGTATATGACAGTTACATCAAACTGGTGTGTACCTCAGATTGTGGAAACCACGATGAGGACGTGGCACTTTTGTGTCTCAAGCTTTGGCGATAGTTTTAGACATGTTCATTATTCCACGCCCATCGTTAATTTCGCTGCTTCCGGTATTTGTTTCTTTACCTCGTTTGTTACATAAACCGGTAAGTGTATGGCTGGTGAAGGAGGATGTGAGGGAGAGGTGTGTATGAGGGTGTGTGAAAGAGGGTGTGGTAGTGATGTGTCTGTTTGGTGAGGGAGGGTGTGTTAGAGAGAGAGAGAGGGGTGTGTGTGTGAGGGTGTGTGGGAGAGAGTGTGTTGAAGTGTATGAAGGATTTACCTAACACCAGTGTCTATGCTGTCACGAGGGACTAACGGAATCATAAATACGCTTGCGTGTTCACCAGGTGGCATATTTATCCTACATGTAGTTGAACGCTGGTTGAAGACGATCAATTTGCGATTCCACATGACTTTACGCATTCAGCACAAATGAGATCGGCAATTTCACTTGTCATTTTTTTCAGGCAAGATGTCTTTTTTCTATAGTAAAAGTTAGAATGTTTACGATATCAGTATTTTTCATGTTTAGCCAATCAGTGACGACACGATCTAGCAATATCTAAATAAGATGTGTTTTTCTTCTGTGAATGTTTGTTATAAAACAACAAGGAAATACCATTATCATTATTATTACATTCTTTACCGCCCGTCAACACATGAAAGGTCATTAGTGCTATCAAACGGTAAAACACACAGCGATCCAAAAGGAAATAACATTAAACAAACTGACAGGTAAAAGACAAACGCTAAAAACCTTAAATGGGTATATAAACACAGGGTACGTCATTTTTAAGGTAACCTAGAATTTTACAAATTTCAACAGGGAAATATCAACATGTTAACATAACCAAAATCAAAACTCAAATGTAATAGACCAGAATAGAAAAAAAGAGATATTTACGAGTAGACATCTGAAAAAGTTCAAGAAGATTAAGACCAGGTGTTCCGGAAGAGTAAGCGTCTTCTACTTCATTGGCGACACACGTTATGTAAACCTTGGTCAATCCAAGTAAGTAACGTGTTCATTTGATAACAAGGTACACAACAACGGAACCAACAGGCAAACCATTGAGCATCAAAGACATCTAGCTTCATACAATGCAATGACGTAGAATATTTTTTCAGTTCGACAACAAACGTATCTAGTACTTTTCAACTGATTACAGACCCTGATAAGTATACCCAATTCGTTATGTAAAATGATTTTATAACTTTCACATTTCTCGTTTGATATTTTCAATGTAATTGTAGGGTTTTCTGAAACCTTGAGAGAGTGGATTGATCAGTGATATTATAACAGATAAATAAAACGCCGACGTAACGATGACAGACGGTAAAAATTTTGTACACTGATATCCGAACCATTCACACTCTGTAAAGGTATCAGAAAATGATTCCCAATACTTCACCAGAAAGATCCTCTACCGAATTTCCAGATGTAAAATGACGTCACTGAAATGCGATATTTACCTTTATAAGTATTTAAGCATTGGCTGCTTCAATAATGATATGTGCAAATAGCAATACACATATTTCTTCTCGTTCAAAAGTCGTTATTCTTCTGTGTCCTTATATATGAATGCTGTCCAATAAAGGTGCTTGTTAAATGTTTAGAAAATGTTCGTGTGTTTGGATAATATTGAATTCACATTTAAATGCTCGCCTGAATACCTCTTTCATCTCGCAAGTAAGTTGTTAAAGAGGGTTATTTTCACATTATTTTAATTAGGCTCATTGAGGCATTAAGAAGAGAGATATGCACTGTGCTGTAAGATAAACGGTATAGATAGAGACATTGATGGACTTGACGCTTTCTCTCCTGTATTACCATTTTTCTATCAATTGTTAAATCTTATTAGAATATCAACTATTAAAACCAGTATTTTCATTTAATGTATGTTTTAACATTCGTTATGATAGGCGTAGAATTCCTTTATTTCCATATCAAATGGTTAGTGAAAACATTTTCTATTTAAATGCCCGATGTACTTTAAGGACACCTCGTCATTGTAAATCAGGTATGTTGCGTATAGGACATACCCAGTAACCAGACTTTTGTATATATACAACATTACTGTAGGTAAACACGATCATCTGGCTTGACGAGTTATAAGACAACCTGTCCGCACATCACACAGGTAAGTGTATACTTACATACCAGGATTATCGTAAATACGACTGGATATATTGTTTAATAAGATAAGTTTATTTCTGGTTCAGGACTTATTTGCAAGTCCTCTATACCAGACTCAAAGAAGATACATTATACAAAATTCATCCTGGTATAGTTGTCGACATAGTGTTTCAACATGTAGATATATAAATCAACCAGTGTCTGATCGATATTTTTATCTGTGGTATAAATGAACTGATGTTTTCTTTCTAATTGTAGTAGTGTATATAACATCACCAGTACAGATCGATAATCAATAAGTTAGGTGTTATTATAGTCGAGCAATCATCCACGGGGCACAGTTCGTCCTGTAAGGAGGAAAAATAAATTACTATCAAATACGTTTACGTCTTTTTTCAAACGTATGGCCGATTGGTACAAATTCAGTTTGCATTACTGCAAATTAATAAAAGGACATCAAAATACCTCCGAATGTCATACTATACTAATGTCCGGTCTTTGTAGCCTTCACAAGGTGAAAGATTGACAGATCATGACATTTGATTAAGGGCGTGTCTGTAGACTGTAATTGTAAGTGCCTCAAAAGAAAATGAAGGTATAAAATACTATAATTACAGATATATTAACCTTTCTTTTATTATTTACTAAAATTCCAAGCAATATAATTGAGAAAAAAAAATTGGTTTTAAATGTCTGATACATTTTTTATATTCAAACTATTAAGGTGAATATATTGAACATGTTTGAACTGTATACAATTATGGAAAGCCTATAAATATTGCATGAATCAATCAGACATTCGTGCCGAATCGATAACGATATATGTTTATAATGTAAAACTATTCATTCAAAGTCTTATATTTGAAAACGTACGTATTTCATGGTCTAATGACCCCATTTAATGTAGATCATGCATAGCTATGTACCAATGTCAAGTTCACATCCGTATTGTGTTTATTTACTTCCAGTGATACACGAGCCTTCCATCAATTCAATGTCATGAGACTAACAAGGCCAGACAAAGGTTGGTCCTGGGTTGTCATGGTAGCGTCGTTTTTTATTCACGGACTCAATGGTAGCATTCTGTACGGAGCTGGCATCATTCAAGTCTCACTACTTGACAGATTCAACAGAAGTGTGTCGCTTACATCATGGGCTGGTGGAATCTTTATCTTCTTCATGTCGTCTGCAGGTATTGTTAAACCAACACTAACACAGTCAAACTTAATAACGTGCATTACATGTGTATACAGGATTTTCACTCTGTTATTCAGAAGCTTGATGTTGTTAAAACACTACTCACATTAACACTTAGTCACGTGTATACAGGATTTTCACTCTGTATCACGATGTATTCAACTGAATGGTGTTCTCTTATTTCAATTTCAATTTTATTACTTGGTGGATTAAACATGTGTTGAAATGCTTTGTACACTGAGGACATCATTTCTGCTCTCAATTTTTAGATCAAACAGCTGTGTCATTACCAGCAAGCGATATACATCTGGGCCAGATATCAAGCATTATATAGCGTCAGATATCAAACATTTTCAGATTCTAATTAAGTCATTATGCTTTGAGGTAGGACATTGGAAACAAATCGTTGGGCTTGACAATCCAGTATAACTGGTGCTGCTTCATTTTGTTTGCGAAGCTTTCGCCAAACCGCAAAATTAAAATGCAACAAATAATGAAGTAATTGTGTGTATACGTGTTTACAATAATGTCTTTGGGATACAAAAGTGACAATGTGTTTAAATGTGCACAGAGTTAACTGCTTGTACAGTACAATGCTACGTTAGTGTTAGTTTACAGGTATATAACTCCATATGTCAGTATACTTCTCTTGGTTGATAACACATTGTGCAAAGGAAGCCTTAAATTAAAAAGACATGTATGAAGATGAAATAGAAACATGACACAGCCAGTAGAAGATTAGAGTGTGGCACTGACACCTCCATCAGACAAATGTCCAGTGTGTAGCGTTCTAGCAGAAACGTACTTAGTGTACGAGATGGTAAGGAATCGACCAACTTTTCTGTGGTACTATAATCCTATGGTGCATTAAAAAAACTGTGTGACGAAATAGTAAACAAATTAAAGACCAGAAAATACACAAGATGGTAACAATGTACCATAGTCAATTAGGCTACGGCTATCTAACATTTTTCTTTGGTCCCCCTCGTCCCTGTTTAGTATTGGACCGCTGCGGCGTGTCCGAATGGCCTCCTTTTCCAACCGCCCGAAAAGGTTATTTCCTCTGTCGAGTATTTTGGAATTTTCCCAGTCATGGATAGGAGTTTGCTGTGTAGAAAGATATGTAAGTGCAGATTTATTAAAGATTGTAGACAAGTGAATATCACCTTCGTTATAATTTAGAGTAAGATACAGTAGAGCCAAACAGCTGTTTCGTCCTCCTAGGACCAGTCATTAATGCTAAGGACTTCAACTTTGAAGCCTAGGAGGCTCAAAATGACCTAAAGAAACGTCAAAATCATGACCGGGGGGATGCAGCAGCCCCAAAATCATTAAAATATGTAAATATATAGATTTATTCAATTTGAATTTGGGTTTCGATTATGATTATGTTCACATGTTGGTATTTTCTGTTTGCTTTGAATAAGATCGTTTTGGAAATGTTCTTCAGATAAAAAATCATAAATACTTCGCACCTGGTGATCTGTATCTGAACATACCTTGAAACAATCATGAAATCGATACTATGCTTCTTATCCTTTTTACATAATTTACAGCATATTATAATTTTTAAAAAAATATATGTACAATACGCCGTACTTCATTCTGCTTTCAGGTGTGATCGGCAGTTGGATCATAAATACAGAGGGGTGTAGGACATCTTTACTAATTATGTACAATACGCCGTACTTCATTTTACTTTCAGGTGTGATTGGAAGTTGGATTATAAATAGATGGGGATGTAGGACAGCTTTCTTAATTGGATCCGTGATTATGACATCAGGATTGATTGCATGTGTGTTCGTGAAGTCCTTGTCGCTTATATTTCTCGTATACGGATTTGTAGCAGGTAGGCTTTTGACAAATAGAAATGATTGCTGAAGAAATTGAGGTTGTCTTGCAGTTTTATTCTAAACTCATTATTTCTTGTTATTAGCATATAACGAAACATTCGTTAGATATTTTCAAACGTTCAGTTGTTAATATCCAGTAATTTCATTTTTAATTTACTGCAATTTACTTTGTGTAACTTTCGATCTGTAACATTATTCTGATATTTCATATTGTAAAAGATGTTCTTTGATGGTTCGAAGTTTAATTCATAGTTTTGCACCAATTTAAGTTGTGAAATGGACGATAACTTTCTCTTCTGTGTTTATTTTCCATTTGGACGTTTTACGACAGCAGGCTAGAGCCTATATAAGTCTTCTCCCTAGACAACATGGTGGTCAGACATAAACATAATACACCATACACCATAAACATACATACATACATACCATACATACATACAATCATAAATTTAGTGTTGACCGACTAATCAATTTTAAATTATGGTAGACAACTCTGTTGTTTTTTAAACTTTGATCTTATGGTTATAATACGATAATTAACAATCCAACAACTTTTCAGTTTACTATGTCTTATGATATTAAATGTGCATGTACTTTCTCTCCTATATAAGAGGAGTTGAGACAGAATGTGTGTAAAATATGTAATGCGACTTTGGTTTTGCTTATCAGGAAGTGGATCAGGTATTATTTACACCACAGGAATCGTTGTAGTGGGACTGAATTTCGAGAAAAAGAGAAGCATAGCAACTGGATTTGCGTCCTGTGGTGCAGGCGTAGGGGTTTTCATTCTATCTCCGGTGATCCAGCTTGCCAGGGAACAGTATGGAAATTGTGGGGTTTTCTTTGTAATGGCAGGCATCGCTCTTAATATGTCTGTATTTGGGGCGTTGTGTTTTCCTTCTTATCTTGAATATTACAAAGTGGAAAGACATTTGGCTGATATAAACTTATCAGTGTCTTCCCTGAGCTTATCAAAAAAGAAACGGATTTATGAAAGGGTCAAGGTATTTGCTAATATACCATTTTTTCTGATATGTTTAAGTCTCTTTTCCAGCCATGTAGGTATTTATCTGATGTATGTACATCTTCCTAATTTTGCAATATCTCGAGGTACATCGGGTTTTGAGGCTTCTTTTTTAATGTCCATTACTGGTATAATGAACTGTGTATCTAGATTATTTATAGGTTTTGCTGGCAATTCAGAACATATCTCAACTATAATTCTCTATTTTGGAACATTTTCATTGCTTGGAATATCAACAATGCTATTTCCTTTTTATGGTTCGAACTTTGTTGGACAAGCCATCTATGCTGCATTTTTAGGAACGTATTCCGGATGTTGTTATGTATTATTAGCCACTATCACACCTAATCTAGTGGGATTGAAAAATTTAGCAACAGCGTTTGGAATCGAGATGACATTCACTGGTGTAGGGACCCTGATAGGACCCCCAATAGCTGGTGAGTTTAATTTCTGTTCTGAGTAAGGCGTTTGTCATTAACATGTAACATCAATAAAGGCGTTGCATCATGTATGTCACGATTTGATTCATTTGAATATTGGTACGCACAATTAAAAATATACCAGTGTAAATGTAATTATTTAGTACCGATATCTTCAAGTTGTGAAATTTAATATGTATTGAATTATGGATCTATCAAAAAACATTCTGAAAGGAAGAAGCAATTGTATGACGGTCTTTAATTAATTTTTTGTTTATGTTGTATCTAGAGTTAAATTCATAATGCATCGTCAGCATTGATTATAGATACAAAACATTATACTGGAAAGATACATCACTACACGAATGATATAAGCTTTGTTCAATATTTGATATCTGAAATGCCTTTTGCGGACATTTTCGGGAAGCATAATATTCAAAACCTTTTACATAAACAAAACAAAAAAAAACATATAGTAAGTTTAGATGCAGAAATGTTTTGTATGAAATAATGTATCTTATTGTGCCTTGTGACGATTTAAACATTTCAGATATTGTATAATCTGTTTCCATGCATTTGACTGCTTTGACTTATTTGCTATATCTTTTGTCTCTCGTGTGATATTTAATATCTTATCGTTTAGGGTTTATATTGGATTCAGGAGGGACCTATGAAGCTTCCTTCTTTTTAGCAGGTACTGCATGTTCGCTAATATTTTTTCCCTGTATTCTGCATAACCTACGGACAACCCTCATTGCAGTACTAAATTTAATATCAAATATCAAAATTAAGAAAATAAAACAAAAATGTTTAATGATTCATATTTTCAGATCATACACTTCAATATAATTTAGCATAAAATTCAGTGAAATCTGCAAGACTGAACATGTCTTTAATATTCAATCAAACAGATTTTCGAGTAGACTAATTGACATAACATGCATAACAGTTTTGTATAAAGTTTTAACTTTATCATTCAGGTTCTTCAGCAATTATAGCTGCAGTCTTAGGATTGGCGTCTGAAGTGTTCCATCAAGTTTCTCATCCTACTGAAGCATTTATTTCTCCAGAAAATGATAAACTGTTCAAAGAGGAAAGTCAACAGCAATGTGATGGAATTATAACACAATGACACTGTTGGACAATTATGGAAATCCAAATACAATGTACAGCGAAGTCTACAGTAACGCTATATCCACTACCATAACTCGAATTCTTACCATAGAAATCCTAGCAAAATTACAACAATCAATGATATATGTTACATACTATGGAGTTTGCACGACATGCTGTCATTTTGTTTAAGTATATGCCTGTTATTGTCTTATAGTTAAAGTATATCAAGAATTCTCGTTATATTTTATAATTTGACTAATATTGTAGTTTGTTGAACACGTTATTGTTAAATTAGTTATTAATTCAATTTTGTTGATTTTTTTAAAAAGCAATTAACACTATAAATTCTTATTTTAAAGGTCACTGTGACAAAGTCTCATAGTGGCCTATCGCGATCACCCTTTGTCCTGCGTCGTGCGTCGTAAACTTTTAACATTTTCGACTGAAACCGAACCTGAACCTATTTCAGTGAAATTTTACAAACACTGACTAAGGGCGCACCAGAATAGTAAATTATATGGTCTCCAGTCCCCAGGTTTGTCCAGCGCCTTAGTTGCGGGATCAAAATAATTGAAATTTCAAATATCTCAAATTCCAGGTAATGTAGAATTAAGTTCTTGTCACGAAGAGACCTTCCGATACTTTACCAAAATTGTAATTTTCATGACCCTAGGGTCTCACATTCCGCCCAGGGAACGGGGTGCAATGTACTATAGTTTATATGCAAAAATGATGTTTGTTTATTTTCTATTGGAATGAATTAAAACCTGGTTAAAATGATAAGTTTAAGAATACAAATACTCTTCATGGATGGAGGTGTCCTACGTTGCTTTATTAAAATAATAAATTGCATGACTTCAGGGTCTCACATTCCTCTCCGGGTTGGGGGAAAATTACATTTTGTCAGGAATAATTTGTTTATTTTCTTTCAGGAATAATTCAAATGTGGTGAGAATGTTTTTATTTACTAACCCCATAGGGGTTGATGGGCGGGACCACACCTGGGACAAATTGACTGCAATTCGAATGTTCTACTTTCCTGAATGAATTTTATATAGAACAATCTTGAGCAAAAATTCTTTTAATTCAAACTCGAAAAGAATTCTTAGCATGGGACATTAGTTTATGTATTCATAATTTGCATTTGTTTGATGTGTACAGGTCAATTTACACGTGGTGTGTCACTACTCTGATTATGTGATACAAATCTAAGTATTTGAATTATTATTATTTGCACTGGTATATCACTTGAAACTCGTTTTAAAACTTGTACAACAGATATATAAAACAAATGAATACTACTTTTATACACAAATTGAGACTTGAGTGTAGTAAAATCGAATCAAGATTTGAATTGTGGCATACAAATCTTTCATCTTAGTATGATTCGTCATTGAAGTTACAGACTAAAATTGTTAAGACCTGGGATACGATTAAAGGGAAAAAATTAAAAAGTAAAACTTATACTGGTAATTATTGTCTTATTGAATTTGAGTTTTGAAATATGAATATGTTGATTAGGTTTTTCGTGTGTGTGTGTTTTTTTTTATGTGTTTTTTAACACATGTCTAATCATTTTTGTGTCTATTGATCGGTGTTTGATTGGTGTTTGAACGTAAATATAAACAAGACTTCATAACCTTTTGCTGTATTAGTTATTCAATTATACCTGCCCTTATCTTTTCTATAAGCAGACAAATACTAATAAGAAATAAGAAATATGTTATAATACCGCTTTCAATGTTTACACTCTATTCCTAACCTGCTATTTCTTTCTGCACAGTTGTTCCCACCTTCAGTTTTTAACATTATTGACGAGACTTCATTGCCATGCGTGAAAAATATTTTTGGAGGAAAGAAATATTTCCAAATGAGATAATGAAAATATAATTGACACAAGCACTGTAAATGTGAAACTTCAATTCACTTGTCATACTGTAAGCGGTAAGGTCATCCTTAGTTTTTTCTGTAATAATCGGTGTGGTTAATAACATAGGACAATCCACATATACCTGCGCACAATTTTCCATCGGAAAGATATTTTTAAAAGAGAATGTGATGAGGTATGCGGATGATTTATTCTTCAAAAAACATTTCTTATGTAAGAACACTTTATTTTTCCGCCCTCCAAACCTCCATACTCCATTCTAAACTAAAGGATCGCTTTTGCTCTCTTGCTTTGAGGGCTTTCCTCTCCAAAAAACGTGAACGGTGGTATAAACATTGTGAAATATACGGTAACGAATTTCGTATTTAAAAAAAAAGTATAAATTAAAGAAGAAATATACGATGGACGAAATCATAAAAATGATCATGTTCTTGGTTCATAACATCTTCGGCGAGTTTGGTTTGAAAATCTTCCAATAGACTACTGGCATACCTAACAGCGCACCTCTGTTACCTTACTCGTTTTTGTTTTCATACGAGGCTTAATCTATTAAAGAATTTATCAAAAGGGTCCACAAAGACCTTGCTAAGTCGTTTAATTTTACGTTCGGATAAATTGATGACGTCTTGTCAATAAATAACAAGAAATTTGTTGACCACGTCCATAGTATATATGGTCTCTGTCTTGTATCTCGATCTTTTCCTACAACGAAACCAAGCTGTATGATAACCGTGATTATTTCAATTTCCCTATTGTGAATTTTCCATTTCTGGATAATGAAATACCTGCATCTCCAATCTATATTATTTATATATCACAGCTGATTTCGATATTCAAGATTCTGTCCCCATAATCATGATTTTCGTGTCAACTGACGGACAAACTCGTAACACAATGTTCCGCAGGTTTATGAAAATAAAGTTTTATGGTCGCCATAATGATCGCATTTGGAAATATTCTATTTCTTTGTGTGATATGAAGATGATCATGTTCGAAGCTCGTTCGTTTGCCTATTGATTCCATTGTTGTATACCTTGTTCTTATTTGAGAACGTGACATGAAACAAAAAACGCTCACTCTTTCGGAACACCTAAGTCTTATTCTCCATGTACTTTGCTTAGGTTTTATGTGTTTTAGATTATGATTATGTTGAATGCTAATATTTTGTGATGTTTTTATACATTCGTTTTTGCATTTCAATTCATGTGATATCATTTCCGAGAGCCATATCCTCTTTCGCCGTTCGTTGATAGTACGCAATCTTTGACTCAAAGCGTAAATTAGTTATAATTATTAGTAAATATGTTTGTCTTGATCGTTATTGTCTTCTTCCATCGGAAATCAATTCTATTTTACCATCATGTCGTATTTAATTATTGAGTAATTGATATGTTGTCCTATCGTATCTTGGTTGTTTTGAGTGTCGAGACATGTTATGAGTAGATGTATCAGTTCTGTAACATATTATCGACAGAAGTATGTGTATTAAGAATTAATACCATTAACATTGTTTGCCTATTCACATGACTTGCTCTGTTCTTCCAGCCTTTAACATTTAGAGATGATGTAGCAATTCATGTTTTGAGGGTGTCAAGCACATAATTCTTTTTTTATTATTATTTTTCCAAAAGACAAATCATTTTATCTATCTTAAAACAAATACTTATGGCATTGTTGAATGATTGAACTTCCTATTGGAGACTTTGTTGTCTCTCATCCACTGCATGTGCATCCTCAACGCAAAACAATTAATTTCCTCCTAACTTCATGAACCTTTTTTATCATTTTACCATCAAACATCAAAACAAATGATTTAGAATCAACCTCTCTGGCTTTCTACTAAGCAATGAACGCATTCGGATCTGATGGATATTCCATAGGACTTTCATCATCGAAAGGATTAGTGAGCCAGTATTATGCAATTTTTAATTATTCGATTTATTTGACAAGACTAGTTAATATATTTCTCATTAGAAGTGAAGTCCCTATGGCTATATAGCTGATGACTGCTTTCCAACATAGCTACGGGTTCTATCAAAACATCTTTAGTATTACTGGTCAATATGTCATATACATCTCGAGGCACTCTTGAATGATATGTACCTGGTACATGTTGTAACGGTTTACTATGTGATTCACATTATTTAGTATTTTCTATTTAACATTTTAACGCACAAAGAGCCCGAACGAGTTCTGGGTTAAGCTTTCCATTTGTAGGAAACTCGCTCGCCATGGCTTTTGCCCAGAATAACTCTACATCTAAACTTTAAATTGGTAAAGGCATGGTTATTGTATATAGTTTACATGTATATTGAATATAGATTCATGTAAAAGATTAAAATACTTTGAACAAAAAGCGGACTTCTTCATCATCAGTTCTACTTTCAACAAATTTAACTTTAACAAGTTTTGATTATATTAAGTCTTGTAAAATCTGTTCGGTTTGAAAATATTTATTTTGGAATCTTCTGGAGACAGATTAGTGAGTCCGCATAAAAGATTAACATGGCGGATGTCGTCTTCGATGAAACAGAAGGCGTTTACTCCTCCGGAGCATATGGACGTGTTCGCCTTGTACTTGTGCAAGAGTCTCCGTGTAGATCTTTCTTTTTTTCATAATTTGCGCCAGTTTTTATTTAAATTGTGATTGGATTTTGATGATGTTGCCACGGTGGTATTTTCTTGATGTTTTTAGTACTCTATATGATCTGCATAAATACAATAACCGTTACCGTCTCAATATTTCTCTAATCACATTCGATGTTGGTCGAGTCTGCGAAATACTAAAACAATATTGTTTGCTGTGTATTGTGCTCACTAGACATTTAACGAATCTCCTTTTTATAACCTATTAATTTTTTTATGTTTTATATGTTTTTTTTTCCGTTTTGAATTAACTACAACGATGACAGTTGCTTCTCCTTTAATCCTTTGCTATATATATGTATGCAAGCCACCTCACTACCATCATATAGTACCTTCGTATCACAAAGGAAGGTGCTTATTGGATTGTTTTAATTGTCACACAAATGTACATCCATTCATCCTACATATAAATCTATAACTCTTGTTAACAAACATATGTCTCCTCTCCTTTCAGGTAAATATATGTTTGCTACTTTTGTATA